CTCTGGAGGCCAAAGAAAGAACGAGGATGATTGCTGACCACGAACTGTCTCGGAAGGTCAGCCGAGGCTTTGACAGAAAACGCCTGGGACAGCGTCACCGGAGGGTCCTTCTCCGCCACGGCCACCCTCCTGCTCGCCCCTCAGTGAATGAGGGCGTTGATGGGGAATGATTTGGCGTCCACCTCACTAGCCTGGGTGGGGTCCTCTGTATGGGCCCCCACTCGTCTCCAGGTGACAATGCAGAAGCCCCTGTACCCACACCACTAGGTCCCCAGGACCGCAGTTCAGGGTGGACTGAACGGCTGGGGTCGTCACTTGCAAGAGCGTCTTGAACCTCAACTAGGTTGGAAACACAGTTTGCATTCCTTACCCTGTACTCCCCTTCGCCGTGACTTTTTTTTGAGACGTTTTTGCTATAGGGCGCATGTGCTCACCAGACAGAGACAGAGATAGAAAGCGAGAAATCTCCCCCCAGGGGGGATGGCCACGCCGCAATCCCTTCTCCCCCGTACTCCTCTTGGGATCTTGGGCACGCACGCACACGCGCCCTGCGTAAAAGTTTTAAGCCACCGGGTCCGGGATGTGAACCGCGGTCGACTACGTGGGAGTCCAGCGACATAGCCATTACGCTAACTGCTGGTTCCTCTGTGACTTTTTAAAGAGTGACTTTTGCTATAAGGTGCGTGCGCTGGCCAGACAGAAAGAGAAACAGAAAGCGAGAAATCACCCCCCAGGGGGATGGCCACACTACAATCCCCTCCCCATCCTCCCCTTGGCATTTAGGCATGCACACACATGCACCCAGTATGAGTTTTAAACCACCAGGTCTAGGACTTGAACCACAGTCAACTACATGGGAGCCCAGCGACTTAACTGCTACACCATCTACTGATCCCGACTTTTTTTTTTAAGAGTTTTTCTTTTTTCTTTTCTTTTTTTTTTTTTAACCTCAGGGTACATGTGCTTACAGGAAAGAAAGATAGAGACAGTGAGGGAAAGTGAGAAATCACCTCCAGAGAAGATGACCACACCACAATCCCTTCACCTCCAGAGAGGATGACCACACCACAATCCCTTCTCCTCCAGAGAGGATGGCCACACCACAATCCCTTCTCCTCCAGGGATTGGGCACACATGCACATGCACCTGGTATGATTTTCAAGCCACTGGGGCCAGAACTTGAACCGTGGTCGCCCATGTGGGATTCTAGCAATGTAACTGCTATGCTACCTGCTGGCCCCTGCACAGCCTGAGTCCCCGTCACCTCCTGTTGACCATGCTGTGACCGCTGCCACAGTCCCAACAGGGAAACTGGGGGTGGAGAACGGAGCTCTGGGCATTGGCCATTATGTGGGCAAGCACGAGGCACGATGGCCAGGCCAGTACCGTGGTAACAACCGCGACAGCCTCAGCATCCTGCTCATCTTCCCAAGGACGGCCCTGATCTCGCGTAAGGGCTCTGCGACTCTCACTTCTCCTTACTGTGCATCACTTTACAACCGGAAGGCTGGCTGGTTCAGGCCGCTCCCCACCCAGCCACCCTGGGGCAGCGGCCTGATGGTGGCACAGCCAGGGCGGCAGTTACCGAGACCAGGGGCTCTGTGGTATCCATGTCCTCCTCGGGTGGCGAATCTGCTGGAGGCACAAGCAGGCCACGTGGCCGTCAGTGACAGGAAGGGAACGGGGTGGGGAGCACCCGCCTTCCCGGCAACGCAGATGATAGGGTGCTCCCAGGGGGTGGGGGCCTCAGGCTGAACCCTGCGCTGAGTGACTGCCTCACAGGGAGAGCAGGCATGGGACCAGAGCAAGGGTGAGCACTGCGCAGAAGGGCTCCGGGCTCACCAGGGGGCATCAGGGAGGCCCGAGGCCCTGACGAGAGGAAGACGGGGGTCTGTCAAGCCCGGGCCGGCCAGGTGGGCAGGCAGGCGGAGGTACCAGAGTGGGCAGGCTCAGTGCAGCTCGGAAGGAGTGCATGAGGCGGGGAGTGCCCCAAAGTGGCCCACTGCGTGGGGCCGGGGTTAGGGGTGTGAGCTGTGCTGTCTGGCACAGAGGTCGCTGACGACTAAGCGGTGGGCACCCCTCCTGCAGGGCAGCGTAGGCTGGGCACACGCCCCTGAGGCACGTTGGGCCCAAGACCCAGTGGTGGCCCCGGTCTCCCCCCAGCCCTCCCCGGCAGCAAAGGCAGGCACCAGTGTCCAGCCACAGGCCCCAGGCTGGCCAGGGAGGGGTGTAGCAGGCTCTCTGGCTCGGGCAAGGCACTGGCCAGATCTGCCAAGAAACAGCCAACCCGGGTAGCACCGCTGGTGGGAACACAGCTGAGAGGAGCCCGAGGCCCGACACTGCTGTTCCTGCCCACGTTCTGGAGGCGGGCACACACGAGCTCACCTGCTCCAGAATCCGAGTCGAGACTCGATTCCGATACCTGCCCATGGTCGCCTGAGGAGCCGGCACCCAGGATCCTCTCGAGCTCCCTGATCTCCTCCACGATCCTCTCTCTCTCGGCATCGACATCCATGGCTGCCACCTGCCTCCAAAACACGTCCCGTCAGAGACCAGGGCGTGGAGCCCGTCTGCTGGCCCGATGCCGTAGGAGCCAACAACCCTCCACACCCCCGCTCGGCACTCTGCCAGGGGCCAGCACAGGCAAAGAGCCACGGCACTGACTTGGCCTCACCGTCCGGGCTGTGCTCCTGTGCCCAGGTGAGCCGCAGGGCCCTGACCACCAGGTAGGGACACACAGGGACACCGCCGCTGGGGGGACAGGGCAAGGCCTGCTCCCCGGGGACACTGAGTGTGGGCCACACTGCCACACAGCCTGCTCCCTGGGAACACTGAGTGTGGGCCACACTGCCACACGGCCTGCTCCCCGGGGACACTGAGTGTGGGCCACACTGCCTGCTCCCCGGGAACACAGAGTGAGGGCCACTCTGCCACATGGCCTGCTCCCTGGGGACACTGAGTGTGGGCCACAGCTGCCACATGGCCTGCTCCCAAGGTGCAGAGCTGGACAGCCTGCCTGGGAAGAGCAGAGAGCAGGCCAGAGCTCCGGAGGGCAAGGTGCCCGCCGGCTCCGCTCCACCGCAGCTGGCACCTGGCAGGGGCCGCCATGGAACACAGTCGTCCAGCAGATGGGAGCTGTTCTCAGAAGGCCGGAGGAGGAAGGGAGCAGGGAGGACAGGAGGGTGGAGAAGCCCTGACCGGGCACCTGCCCCACTGTCAACAAACACCCTCCCGCCGGCACCTGCCCCACTGTCAACAAACACCCTCCCGGGCCCTGGCCTGGCCCTCCCTGTGGGACACTGACAGGGGCCATGCTCACGCCCCTCTGGGCTGCAAGCCCACCAAGAGCGCCCCTCGCAGCACCAGCAGCCAGCCGGCCTCACTGCTCCCGGGAGGCGGCGGCTCTCTACCCCCATGCCAGTGAGCCTGTAAACCCAGCTGGCTACAAACCAGCCCCACCTGCAACGCCAGCAGCAGCCACCGCGGATTCAAGGCAGCCACCTCCTCCAGGCAGGCCGCGGAGGGGCCGCTTTCTGCAAGTCAAAGGCAACCGCTTCACCACTCGCCTCCCTCCCCACGCTGCCCTCCAAGGCCGCAGACCCACCTTCGCCCGCACCCCTCTCCCTCCAAGGCCCAGCACGGGCACAAGGCTGACCCACGGCAGCCCCACTCCCCGAGGCCCTGGCTGCCCCCGCAGGCGGCACTGGGAGCCCCGGGGCAGCG